TTTTTTAATAGAGCATGTTTTTGGAGTCGTATAACTAAAACAAATAAATCGTATCCTCCATAAACAAAGTTGAAAAAGCTAGAGATTAAGATGACGACTTGATTAATCATCGTCACTCATTTGTGATTTGATTTCTTAACTAAATTTAGAGCTTGCGTCATCTTCATCCTAGCCTCCCTATTCTTTATATCCTATCCATTTTGTCCCATGCCCTATATAGTAAGTAAATTAATGGCTTGGTGATATATATGATATGATGAATACATATATTCATGTGCCATTTGAAATATTGAATGATATATATATGGTACACTTGTAAAAATAACTTTTTGGGTTTTACTTACGTATATTCGTTCTACCAATTCCGCTTTGAATTCGATATTGCATTGGATATAAGTGACTTAGATTTTTTTTGGACCTCTATCAATATCATCAAAGATTAGTCCGGATATAAAAAAATAATATATCAAAAATTTGTAACCTGTTTTAAAGAAAAAATATTATCAATAGGATGTTTGTTATCTTGATTATTGTAGAGAGTAATTTATCAATATGATGTTTAACTTTCCGCCTTTCTACCTTAACAGAAAATACGAGAAAAAGAAAAATAAATAACGTCGTGAAATTTTTGTCTATTAATCAAAATTATATATAAAATAAAGTTTATAGAAACCATGAAATAAACCAGAACAAACCAATTTTTTTACAAAGCTAAAGCTAATCATAATACCAAACCAAAATTGACGACAAAACAAAAAAAAAATTTGATTTTGAAATTGGTTGTTATAATCTCTCTTTACCACTTTAAGCTGGAACGTTCCTTCGCATCTTTGAGTAATCTTACAAAACCCTTTTTCAGCAAACTTGTGTCCAATCTAAACTAAGCGTGTGGAATCTTTTGTAAACAAAGATTAATGATCCAATTAGGGAGTGGTAATGAAACTATAAGATAAGAGCATGCGTAATTAGTGACATCTAATTACTTGTTTAATTAGAAATCCATCGTGGCGCGTGGGTGTATTCCCTCCACAATCCTTATCTGAGTTATATCCCTAATGACTTTTTACGTGAAAACGACACGTCGGCAAGAACCCAAATTAAATGGACCCCCCTAGTGCCACGTTTATTTCCAAAATTATGACAAAGAATGGTCTTCACACTCTTTTGTACTTTCTTGTGTGTAATACAATTTGTTTGGTACTTCTCCTTTGGCTTCGTATAATTAAAAGGAAATTGACAAAAATAACATAAAAAAATTATAATCTAAAATCTAATCAAAAATCATATATCTAATGATTATGATTTTGTCACATACCCCCATTTTACTTACTTTTTAATTAACTTTTTTGTTGGTTATTCATACAATTAACCCATAATTATATCCTTTTTTTATAAATGAATATAACTATTAGATTTATAATTAATTATTCAGATTCTTTTCATAATTTTAGTCAGCAGTCAAATAATTAGATGTAGACGAAATGCACATTTTCCTTAATAAACTAAATTTTATAAGTTATTATACATGCAATATAAATGCTATATTCTTTTTTAGTAAACAATATAAATGCTATATTCCGGTGTTGATATATATATTTTCTCATGTAATAAACTATGTAGTGGAGATAATAATGTTGTATATGACTTTTGATAGTTTGGTTTATATATGGATAGGCTGGACAATGATATGAGGAAAGCAATAAGGAAGAATGAAGAACGAATATTTGGGGAAATAGGACAAAAGAATATACTTTAGTTTGAAATGGAGATACACCTAAAATACTTGTACTAAAGCCATGCAATGCATCCAAACAAATCAGTGGTCAAGCACACCCAATTATATGTCTGCTCTTCTTTTCTACGAATACGAAGACCCTTTAGAATCCCCATAATTAAAAGCTTAACTTCTACACTATCGGATAATTCTAGCTTATTTGCCCCTTTAACCCCCAAAAATGTATAGTTAAGCTTTATAAATAATTAAATGAGAATTTTTGAAAAATACGATTTTTTTAAAAATGCTATATTTTTTTCAACAATGCTACTAATATTTATCACTTATTCAAAATATAAATGAATGACTAATTATGTTATGTAGGGTTTAGTATTGAGGATTTAAGGTTTGTTAGAGTCAAAACTTTTTAAAATTTTAAGGTTTGAAATTTTTAAAAATCCTTGGTTTGTAGTATTATTGAAATTGACAACTCGTGATGATATTTTTGCAAAATGGTGATTCAAAAATAATATTTTTGCAATTATTCATAATTAAATACAGACACAATCATATTTTTTTCAATATCGATTTCGGTTTTTGATTGGTAAAGATAAAAATTTATATTTAAAAGAGTGCGATAAAATATTACTAAAAAAACGTATAATATAAATATAATTAGAGATAAAATATTAGAGATAATATGGATGTAGATATCTCTAATTATATTTATATTATACGTTTTTTTAGTAATATTTTATCGCACTCTTTTAGAGATATATTTTTATCTTTATCAATCAAAAACCGAAACCGATATTGAAAAAAATATGATCGTCTGTATATATATATATTTGGATGTATATATCTCTAATATATATATATATATATAGATTGGCATGCTTATCAATTATCATGAAAAAAACATGTAACTCAATTTTTTTTTCAAAACCGTATCTCCCCTATGGATGAAACTTAACATTTTTACAATATTATATGGAAGAAAAACAATAGGTGACTAGAGATAATGTTATAGGACATGAGAAGGTACAAAATCAAATATTATTTAAATTGTAATGTACCAACCAATAAGAAAGAAGTGACGCACACTAAATGACAACAAACCTCAAGAATATAAACCCTCACCTTCTCGGCTTTCTAACATTTCAAACACTAACAAAAAAAATAAAAA